GCCGCGCCGCAGCCGCAGCCGCAGCCAACCGAGCCGGCCTCCAGGCGCCCGGGCACCGAGTGGTAAGACGGGACCCCGCGCCCGCTCACAGCGCTGGGGCAGGTGGGGCACTCTGCGCCATGGACCGGTTTGCTCCTTGAAAAACCAGAACTCTCTAAGGTAGGTAGGAGGCCTCCTAGATGATGTAGCCCCTGCCGACTTGGCTTTGATCTTCAAGGACTTTAAGCCCCATCCTCCCCCCACCACCCCCCCCACACACTTGTATGCACCTTCTCTAAATGAATTTCCGTTTTGTGTTGAGATTACTCTTCAAATACTATTCTTATAGACAACTCTCTGACCCCCCTAAGTCTAAGATTTGCAGTGTCCGGAATTCTCCTTCCCAGTCCTTTTCAAATGGTGTAATTGTGTGTGTATGTATGTTTGTTTCATGTGTGACTTATTCCTGGACTGAAGCCCTGGCCGCTGGGGACCATTTCTGCTTGGCTTACTCTTGATGGCTGCCGCCCACATGTGCACAGTGCAGGCTCCCAAGGGAAAACAACAAACTAGTGTTATGAAGTTGATTCTGAATCCTGCAGGCCCTTGTGGGCCTCATTGGAGCTATACTCCCAGGTGTTCAGTGGATGGGCTTTGGGAAGGTGATTGCCACAACCTCCAAACTTTCCGTTAAAAACTGAGCAAGTGAACCTTTTGCACCACCCAGGGCCTCCAGACACAGTTCCATGGCCATGGAGTTGATTCCAGCTCCCAGCAGTGACCCAGTATAGGGTGTCCAAGGCTGTATCTTGACAAGAACAGACTTGTAATGCATTTCGGCTCATTCTTCAAGGGCTGTCCTGGACACCCTTCTGGTGGGTTTGAACCACCAGTCTTGAGGTTAACCGTCCAATTGGCTACCCAACAGTGCCATTAAGGGCTCCTTCCAGAGTCATCGCCAAACCCAAACCAAGCTCACTGCCATCGAGTCGATTTGGACGAATTGGAGCCCTCTAGGACAGGCCGGAACTACCCCTGTGAGATTCTGAGACTGTGAGTCTACAGGAGTAGAAAGCCCCATCTTTCTCCCCCGGAATGATTGGTGGTTTTAACTGCTGACATTGCGGTTAGCAGCACAACCCAAACTACTAAGTCCTTAGTCTCATAGCAGGCTCTAAATAAATATTTGCTGACTGAGGAGATGACAATCCTGAGTTACTGAGCCTAGGACCAAGAAACCCTGGCCAGGGAACAACCCAAGGTACTACTTAATGAAGTATCAGGTTTTCTTGTAAAATCGGAGGATCTGAATACCATTTACAAGACCCTTAAGTCATTATTGATTGATTGCTGAATGTGTGCCTTAGATATTGATCCTTGTCTTCCGTTGTCCTAACAGGCCAGAGATGACTTGAGGATCAGTCAAAAAAGTTACTTCAAAAGCATAGGAACCTTTATTAAACAAAGATCAAAATGCGAAGCAATCGGTGGTCAACATAGCCTCCATGTAGGTCTATACGCTTCTGAAAGTAGTGTTTCGCGCCAACTCTTCTGCAGAGAACTCTGTTCGTTGTTTGACACCACGTCAAAATGATAGTGTTGGCATCCTCTGGGGGTACTCAGATCATGTTCCTTTTACATACTATTTTTGGGGACCAAGAAGAAACTGGAAGGACCAGACCAGGACTGGAGGGTGGCTGGAGGGAGCTTTGCCAACAGTATTCTCATGACAGCACTCGCTGCCCTGGAAGAATGAGCTGAAATGCTTTGTCGATGGGCAATATTTTCTTGGTCTTTCCTCACCAAACACACTTTTCAATGACAATAAATCATTTTATTGGGGGCTCTTATAGCTCTTATAACATTCCATACATCAATTGTATCAAGCATATTTGTACATATGTTGCCATCATCATTTCCGAAACATTTTCTTTCTACATGAACCCTTGGTACAAGCTCTTCTTTTTTCTCCTCACTCCCCAACTTTACAATTTTCTTGAAGTTTCTTCATAAGAAGACCCGATCATTGTTCTGTGTGCTTTGGAAAAAAATCTTATCAAGGTTACCTCTCTTTTTTTTT